GCTAACCGTTGTTATCCTGAACGTGGCCAAATATCAACTGAATTTTCGTTCACCGAATTTGCCGCCTGTGACATTCAATCAAAAGTTCGTTGTCGTCTGTGCAGATTTTCATTCGTGTCGAAGGTTTTTCCCCATTTGCGCTATCAAAGAATGGAATTGGAAACAATAAACAGCTGTTGCACACCACACTCGGCCATGGAGCTTTCTTATCAGTGAGAGCGAAAAGCTTTTGTTAATTCGCATGTAAACAGAGAGGAAAAGTTGTGGGTGGTTTTGGCGCCAAACTGCCAAAACAGTGGAGGATTTAGAGGTAAATGGGAATTTACTTAACATGAGGATATTGAATTTTTTATAACCTCCAATAAAAGTTTAATAATGTAACCCTCATTATTATTGTATTTCAGACAAATATCTCCTGCCGAGTTTGTTCGAATTTGATATTTTGGTTTTCCATTGGGTTGTAAATCATTCTAGAAAGTAAACGAATTGTCTTTAATTTTATATTTTGGGTTCTCATTGGTTGACGAAGGCGTGGCAATGTTTTGGTATAACCAGTGGCAGTAATTTGGCATTTCAGGTGCTCGGAGGATGAGAAATTGTTTCTGAGTTATCTCCATATTTCTGATATTTTGAAGGTTCCAGCCACATTCTCCAACGAAAGGGGACTTTAATATTTCATACTCTTTCATAAAACATAGCTTTGACATAGCATACAAAGGACCCTACCCATTTTAGATATGTTGAAGGTTCTTTGAGATTAAAAACCATATTTTTCAGAAACTTTTCAGGTCCAGGTAGGTTTTTGCGGAATTTTAAATCCGAAATTTAAATTCAAAATTAATTTGGCATGCTTGGTTTTTGGAGGTTAAAACAAAAATTTCCTCAAACCCGTAAGGAAAGTAGTAATGTCGGACTGGACCAACTATATACTACCCTTCACCACTTTGAGTATATTCTACATATGTATCCTAACAGACATCGTCTTTTCGAAGGAACATTGACATGAAATTGAACGAACTTAAATCTGAATCTAACCCAATTTGCTCGAAACTTAACACACGAGCTATGCAAAACAACAACAACAATTGTGTGCCGGTCGGCCAAACATTGGGTCTTCAGAGCACAATTTACCTTAAATCGGACGAAACTATATACGGGAGCTATATCTAAATCTGAATCGATTTTCTTAAATTTCAATAGAGTTCGTTCTTGGGCCAACTGAATGAGCTGTGCCAAATTTCATCCAAATCGGATCATAAATGCGGCCTGTACTTTATTTACAATTTAATATCTACAGACGGACGGACGGAAGGACATGTATAAATCGACACAGAAAGTGATTCTATGCATATTCTTAAAAGGAACGTATCTATCTCGTTTCCTTTTGCCTGTTACAAACATATGAACAAAGACATAATACCCTGTACCACAGTGTTGTGAAGGTTATAAAAATGTTTCAATAGGTTCAAATAGGTCCCTACGAATATGCTGCTATTTTAATACCCTACACAACTGTTATAGCTAGAGATGGGCAGTGGGTAAATACCCGGTAAATTGGGTAAATACCCGGTAAATTGGGTAAATACCCATTTGCGGGTATTTATTTGGGTATTTACTATATTGACTCAGTAATACAACATCTTACACCCTATTTCCGGGTTTCTGTTATCAAATCGATTTAGAATGGATAGTTTTACGATACTTTAAAGACGTGGGTAAATACTTGGGTAAATACCCGAGTTTTTACCCAAAAATTGGGTATAAACTCATTAACTGCCGAACCACTTGGCATAGGCGTCCAAAATTTTGCACACATGGACATGGGTCCAAGTTTTGATATAGCCCCCATGTAAACATATCTCCCGATTTAAGGTATTTTTTGTCCATTAGACACATTTTACAACCAAATTGGCTGTAATTTGGCACAGAGTGTTCTTTTTGAGTACAAAATGTCCATGTAAAATGGTATGTGTGTAGGTCCACGTTTACTGGTAACCCCCATACAAAGGTACCCTTTTTTGAGTATTTACCCAAAAATTGGGTATAAACTCATTAACTGCCGAACCACTTAACGTAGGCGGCCAAAATTTTGCACACATGCTTCTAATGTCAAAGCAAATATAGAAATCCGACATGGGGCCCCTGGGGCCAAGTTTTGATATAGCCCCCATGTAACCATATCTCCCGATTTAAGGTATTTTTTGTCTATTAGACACATTTTACAACCAAATTGGCTGTAATTTGGCACAGAGTGTTCTTTTTGAGTACAAAATGTCCATGTAAAATTGTATGTGTGTAGGTCCACGTTTTTGGTAGCCCCCATACAAAGGTACCCTTTTTTGAGTATTTACCCAAAAATTGGGTATAAACTCATTAACTGCCGAACCACTTAACGTAGGCGGCCAAAATTTTGCACACATGCTTCTATTGTCAAAGCAAATATAGAAATCCGACATGGGGCCCCTGGGTCCACGTTCTGATATAGCTCGCATATAACCGTAGCTCCCGATTTTAGGTAATTTTTATCTATTAACCAATTAGATTGGCTGGATTTTGGCTCGGAGAGTTCTCTAACTATTTAATGTGTGTTTTGAAGACCCCATTTTTCCATACAGGAAATAATGTTGATTTTAAACCATTTGTGTCGGAAACCACATTTTGCATGAATATTTTTTGCAAAAAGAAATTTCACTGTGCCAAATTATAACCAATTTGATCGTAAAAGTACCTTAAATCGGTAGGTACGGTTATATGGGGGCTATGTCAGAACTTGGACCCAGGGACCCCATTTTAGGTTTCTATTTTTGTTTTGGCATTAAAAACATGAATACAAAATTTTGGCCGCCTATATCAAGTGGTTCGGCAATTAATGACTTTATACCCAATTTTTGGGTAAATACTCTAAATAGGGGTACTTTGTATGGGGGCTACCAGTAAACGTGGACCTACATGCATAAAACATTTGGTACCCAAAAAGAACACTCTATGCCAAATTACAGCCAATTTGGTTGTAAAATGTGTCTAATAGACAAAAAATACCTTAAATCGGGAAATATGGTTATATAAGGGGCGATATCAAAACTTGGACCCAGGGACCCCATGTCGGATTTCTGTATTTGCTTTGACATTAGAAACATGTGTGCAAAATTTTGGCCGCCTATGTCAAGTGGTTCGGCAATTAATGAGCTTATACCCAATTTTTGGGTAAATACTCTAAATAGGGGTACTTTGTATGGGGGCTACCAGTAAACGTGGACCTACATATATAAAATTTTGCATGGACATTTGGTACCCAAAAATAACACTCTGTGCCAAATTACAGCTAATTTAGCCTTAAAATGCGTCTAATAGGCAAAAAATACCTTAAATCGGGAGATACCTTTATATGGGGGCTATATCAAAACTTGGACCCAGGGACCCCATGTCGGATTTCTATATTTGCTTTGACATTAAAAACATGTGTGCAAAATTTTGGCCGCCTATGCCAAGTGGTTCGGCTGTTAATGAGTTTATACCCAATTTTTGGGTAAATACTCAAAATAGGGGTACCTTTGTATGGGGGCTACCAGTAAACGTGGACCTACATACATAAAATTTTGCATGGACATTTGGTACCCAAAAAGAACACTCTGTGCCAAATTACAGCCAATTTGGTTGTAAAATGTGTCTAATAGACAAAAAATACCTTAAATCGGGAAATATGGTTATATGGGGGCTATATCAAAACTTGGACCCAGGGACCCCATGTTGAAATTCTATATTTGCTTTGACATTACAAACATGTGTGCAAAAGTTTGGCCGCCTATGTCAAGTGGTTCGGCTGTTAATGAGTTTATACCCAATTTTTGGGTAAAAACTCGGGTATTTACCCAAGTTTTTACACACGTCTTTAAAGTATCGTAAAACTATCCATTCTAAATCGATTTGATAACAGAAACCCGGAAATATGGTGTAAGATGTTGTATTACCGGGTCAATATAGTAAATACCCAAATAAATACCCGCAAATGGGTATTTACCCGGTATTTACCCACCCCTTGGGTATTTACCCGGTAAATACCATCTCTAGTTATAGCTTTGTGCAGCCCCAAGGCTTTGTAACGCCGCAAAATATTTGTATCGACTAGCTGAGTCGACCTAGAAATATGCGTCCGTCCGTCTGTTCATTATAATTTGTAAACATGATACAGGACATAGTTATGGACCAATCGTCACGAAATTGTGCATGTAGGTTGGGTTTGCACCAAAGAATACCCCAATTGTTTTAGGTAATAATCCGTTAATATTTAAGGGATGGAATGGTCCATAAAAGTTTTTAACCGCTCTTGAGGCCACATTTATAACCCGAACACCAGAAAAGGAATCTGGCCAAAAAAATATACATGACTGTTTTGATGAAGATCGGCCAATATTTAGCGAGTCAAATGGACCCAGACTTTTGTGTGAAAAATGACAAAATTTGTACTCTAAGGCGTATATATTTACTCCTGAAAGACATATACATACTTACTAAGCTGGCTTGTTACAGAACGGTTGTTCCATAAGCCGAGCTTAAAAAAGATTTCCAATTTGGAAGACCACGTTCCAAGATGTTGTTTTCTACTTGGTCTTTCCAGCTTATTCGTGGCCTTCCCCTTCTACGGGAACCATAAGTAGGCTCGTTTTTATATGCCTTTTGAGCCTGGGCATTTTCATTCATCCGCACAACATGGCCTAGCCACCGTAGTCGCTGCAACTCAATACGACTGACTATATCGATGTCCGCGTATAAATTGTAAAGCTCATGGTTCATTCGACGCCGATACTCAGCGTCGACGCAGATCGGCCCGCAGATCTTTCGGAGAATTTTTCTCTCAAACACCCCAAGAACTGCCTCATCTGCTTGTGCAAGTACCCATGCGTCTTGTAAATTGTGAGTTTGGTCTGGCGGGAGGTGGCCTTGTTTCTAAACTGCTTACTTAGACCATCGTAGCATCTGTTGGCCATCACAATCCTTCCATTATGTCGATGTCATCGGCGCAGGTGAGTAACATATGATGTTTGGTGTACAGATTGCCATTTCTGTTCACCTTTGCCTCTCTTATTACCAGCTCCAGCAGGATGTTAAAAAGACGACAAACTGTCACCTTTTCTAAATCCTCGTTAGTTATTAGGTCCTTTCTGACTTCAACTGCTGACCTTGTGCCATTTAGAGTTATCCTGCATAGCCATATTAATTTTGCAGGAATGCCGAACGCAGATATTGCGGCTTTAAACACCTCCGAACGGATAGCGCTGTCCAATGTGGCTTTATAGTCGATTAATAGGTGGAATGTGTAGATGTGTTTTTCGTAGGTCTTTTCCAGGATTTGGCGCAGAGTGAAAATCTAGTCAATCTGAATTGGTCTGATTTGCCAGGTCTGAAGCCGAATTGGTATGGTCTAATAATATAATTGACCATTGGCTTCAGTTTTTCACACAGCACGCTGGATAGCACCTTATATGCGATGGGATGGAGACTTATTCCTCTATATTTGACATATCGTCTTGTCTCACATATCGACACATGCTGCTGAGGTTCCAATCATTGGGCATGTATTCCTCCAGACAAATTGTACTAATCAGCTGGTGCATGCTCCTGACCAGCATCTTTTAGTCGTTGATAAAATTTCCGGACTTCGTTCTGACTCCTGTACATCTCGATTTGCTACTGCTCATGTTTAGCCCTATATGCTGCGTTTTTCACATCAGTAGCACTCCTGATCGTACCATGGGTTTCTTGATGGCGGTCTTTGGTACCCAGTTGTTGATTTTTTTGAAGTTTGTAAGGAGTGGGCAATTCTTTGCCATTGTGCTTCTATACTATTATCGGGACAAGAAGTGCTTTCGTCCAGCAAGTGGGTAAGTTGAGCGGAGTATGGTTCTGCTATCTGTTGTGTTTGCAGTTTTCTACGTCAAGTTTCCATGTTGTGTTAGATCGTACATTTGCTGCTACATTAAGACGAGTGCGGACCTTCCAAGTACCGCACATTAAATTATATGGACCGTACTATTGAATTTTTTTTCCCACGATACTATAAGCGTGGATTTTTAAAGAAATACAGTCGAAATCGTTTATAACGATGTATTCAAACGTTCTGCCTTTATTTTAATATAGATTATAAGGACATATCGCTTATAGCGTCCAATTCCGCCGATCCCTTGACCGTCGTTATAAGCGAATTCGACTGTAGTTGTTCAAATAGAAACTTACATCCGATTTTCGATCTTCTGTTTTAAAGTCGATTCTTCGGCACATTCACCTGTTCAATAATACTCAACTGTTATAATAAGGATTTGGTACACTGTAAACTTGAAATCTAAAATAAACTACAACGCCACCGTCGACGACGACTTATTAAAAGGTTAAACGATCGCTCAGATAAAAACAGTATCTCTGTTAGCTTTGAGAAGTAAACAACAAATCTTCGTCGCATCGTTCAGTAAATATGAATAAATTATTTGTATTGACTTTTTTTGGTGTTCTCTGTGTGGTTATTAACGCACAACCTAAAGAGGAGGTATATCGAAAAAAAAATAAATAAAATAGTTTAATTATTTATATTCATGAGTCATTGTGATTTTTATTATAAAATTCTTCATAGGAACTTCATTTAGTTGGTGGTGTAAAACAACTCGTAGCTGGTGATTTGGATGAAGCTAAAGAAGCGTTGGAATCATCATTAAAACATTTGAAAAAGGGTGAAAATGGAGCTGACTACAAGTGAGTATTATGGAACCAGTTGTTGGAAGTGTTAATTACTTTTAGGTATACGATATTATTGAAAAGTATATTACCGTGCTAATTAAAAAGTTCTATAATTTACTACTTGTGTAGAAAAAATTTGAATTTAACTTGTTCTGAATTATATATTTATTTTTTTTTTTCAAAATTAAGCCGGCCTTTATAATAGCAATTAAAATAACCTTGAAAAAATAACCTTAATTCGATTACATCATTGGATTAACGATGAGATTAACATTGAAATTATTAATGAGGCAGTGAATAAATAAACAAATCGAAGATGTTCTGCTACAAAATCCGTCATATGTTATCCACTTTATTAACTTTGAAACATGCCCAAACAAAATACCACTGCATTTCGTGGTTTAAAAAGTAAACTTGATGAATGGTGGTTTTTAAATGCCCACGCGTTACAGATTTATCTGGAAATGCCATTTACAATAAAGTTATATACGGTCGAGTTGAGTGAAACCACATATTCTTCATGTCGTATTTATCAAAAACAGGTCATATGACCATAACGCTCCGAATTGACGGTGCCAGGCGTCGTTTTCGAAAAAAGTGGCATTAGACCACCTTCGAACCAAGCTATGACCACTTTTCGGGAAGTAATGGTCTCTATTCAATTACTTGAGTATTCTCAGAACCCGAAATGCGAGCATTTGGAGTGTTTGGCATACCCACCGAGTGAGAAATGAGCTTCATCGCTGAAGCCGTCCATTTCCTATTCTTGAAGACTCCATATTTACGTATGGTTTGCTGGCAAAATACGTCAGACTTATGGCTATTTGCTTTAGACCAAATCCGCTTCAGAAAATTTGGAGTCGATTTACAAATGTCTGTCTGACTGGCCGGCAGGTCTGCACGATAATCGAATTCATTCAAAAAAATTACACACCATAAAAGTTCACCCAAAATTAGTTCATGTTCGAAGATTGGGAATATCGGTCCACTCGTTCTGATACCTCCCACACAAAATTGTCAACATTTTGCTGAAAATAAATTTTGTAATATCATGAGTACAGACTATCCGATTTGAACTAACCTGTGCAAAACCTATTATCTTTACCAATATGGAACCTATTGGCCCAATCCTTCTGGTACCTCCCCCACAAAGGGTCAATTTTTTCAATATTTATAAACCCAATATCAGGCTAATGGAATGTTCACATTGATCCAAACTTTGCACATTGTAATAATTCGGTCCACTATGTGATTTGAACTAACCTCTGTACAACCTAATATTTTTACAATGCCTGTATAATATTGGAAGATGGGACTTATCGATCCTCATCTTCTACTCCTCCCCCACAAAAGTCTGTCTGTATTGATCCAAACTTTGCAAATCTTAATATTTAGCGGGTCCATTTGAGTCGCTAAATATTGACCAATCTTTATCAAAACAGTCCTGCTTAATCTTCGGCCCGATCCGCTTTTCCATGTCAAAAAATTCGCTATGTTCGGGCCATAATTTCAGCCTCTGGAGCGACCAGAAAAACCGACCCAAATTAATATTTGATCTATTTCATCCCCTAAATATAAACCGATTTTTACCAATGGATGGGTTCTGGCCAATGATGGCATGCATGAAACATTTCGTGAAGATTGGTTCATAACTGTGGCCTGCATCGTGTTTACAATTTATAATGGACATATGAACGGACACACATGTCTAGATCGACTCAGCTAATCAAGATATGACAATCGGTATAATTAGAAGTGGGTCTAGGTCCAATATTTCGTGGCGTTACAAACTCAGGGGGCTGCACAAAGCCATAATACCCTGATAACATAGTCGTGAAGAGTATAAAAAACTTAACTTACTACCCTGATTGTAATAAAGCTCCTATATATTGTTTCGTCCGATTTAATAATAGTGCACCCAATGTTTGTCGATATACCTCATTTGCAATGCCAAAAATCCTAGAAATATCTTCAATATTTCGATCTTTATCGTGATTAAATCTACATCGTGATAAATCTACATAAAACTTGCTAGAGATTAATTTATACTAATTTCAATAAGTTGTGTCAATCGGCCTAGCTGTGGATCTTTAGTGCACAATTTACTTAAAATAGGACGAAAATATATATAGGAGGTGTACACATAATTCCAGATTTAATTCAATACGCTATGCCATTTACCTAAAATCGGGCGAAACTATATATGGGAGCTATATCTAAATCTGAAGCGATTTTCAGGAAACTTAGCACTTAATTCTAGACCTAATTCAATAGGCTATACCAAATTGCAAGCAAATCGAAAGATATATAGGGACTTTGGTACACCATTTGCCTTAAATCGGGCGAAACTATATATGGGAGCTATATCTAAATCTGAACGGATTTTCACGAAATTTAGCACACATCGTTCTAGACTTAATTAAGTACGCTATGCCCAATTTCGTGCAAATCGATGGATATATAGGAACTTTGGTACACCATTTACCTTAAATCGGACGAATTTATATATGGGAGCTATATCATCATTCCAGACCTAATTCAGTAGGCTATACCAAATTTCGTGCAAATCGAAAGATATATAGGGACTATGGTACCCCGTTTACCTTAAATCGGACAAAATTATATATAGGAGCTCTATCTAAATCTGAACCGATTTTCACGAAACTTAGCACACATCATTCTAAACCTTATTCAGTAGGGTACACCAAATTTCGTGCAAATCGAAAGATATATATGGACTTTGGTACACCATTTGCCTTAAATCGGGCAAAACTATATATGGGAGCTATATCTGAATCTGAACCGTTTTTCAGGAAACTTGGCACATATCATTCTAGACCTAATTCAGTAGGCTGTACCAAATTTCGTGCAAATCGAAAGATATTTAGGGACTTTGGTACCCCATTTACCTTAAATCGGACGAAAATATATATGGGAGCTATTTCTAAATCTGGACCGATTTTTCCCAATTTCAATAGGATTCGTCCTTGGGCCAAACAAATAGGTTGTGCCAAATTGCATCCAATTCGGATCATAAATGCGACCTGTACTTTGCTCACAAAAATACATGGATAGACACACAGATGGACAGACGGACGGACATGCATAAATCGACTCAGAAAGTGATTCTATGCATATTCTCAAAATACCCTGTACCACAGTGTGGTGAAGGGTATAAAAATTGCAGATACTCTGGTTGGAAAACTGGGCAAGGAAAAAACAGAATGTGGGTGGGACCAAAATATGGGAATTATGACCAAACATAGACTTATGTTGAAAATTTCTGCATACATGTATGTCCAACGAAATACTTAATTACAACCACTTCAAAAAATATATCTGGATTAATTTGAACCATAAGAATCAGTAGGATATACTTTCCTACATTTATATTCATATCATATATCAATTTCATAATATTTCTTATATTTTTCTACAGGATTAAACAAATCAATTCTGCCAGCAAACAGCTAGTATCCGGTATACTATATACCATAAACGCTGATATCATCGTTGGAGACGATAAGGAAACGAAAAACTGTGATGTAAAAATCTGGTCTCAACCCTGGTTGGAAAATGGTATTAAAGTAACATTGAACTGTGAAAAGGAAGATGAAGTTGTTTTCAAACATAGCGCCTAATAAGAAACAAATGTTAAAATGTTTTATTTCTTATTACAATAAATAAAAAGTTATTTTTATAAAATTGTTATAAATAAATGCATTTTTATTCTATCTAGCATATACAAATTCACAAATAAGTTTTATTTATAAACCTCAAATTAGAATTTCTACATTAATTTCACACATATTTAAACATTTGGGTCAATAAAAAATGCAAATTAGGACTTAGAAATGCAACAAAAAACCGTTAGTATTAAAATACAATAATCAAATATTTAGAATAATCAAATATTTTAAAGCTTTTAATTAATATTATTAAATCCCTCAAATAATTAATTATCATCTTATGATGCAACTATTGCACAATAACTCTCAACCAAATAACCAGTTTGATGAGTTAATAAAACAAATCTGCGTTATTTCATTAAAACGTCGGCGAACATTTTTGTTGTTAATTAGAAATGAGAAACAGGCTAAGCTATTTCGCTAAATTGCAAACGACAAGTGTTCTTTATTAGTGATGTACTAAAACACATAGTAATAGGAAGTATTCTCGGAAAATGTATAAATAAGTGCTATTAATGGGTGAGCAAATAAGAAATATATCACATATAAAATAATTCAATTATAGGATTTAATAAGAGATAATAACCACAAAAATCAAACTACATAAAAACTATCATGGAGTTATGATACCCTTGTCACTGGAAAATAATAATAGGTAGAGCTTTTGCGGAAAATATAAAGACAATATTTGACTATATCAGTCTACAATAAAATCGATCAATTCATTATAACAGAGAGAGAAGAGCCGCTTAACACCTAAGTCTTCAGAAAAATACTTTTAGAAATCCACTCTTAAAGCTCGAATAGTCCTTTAGAAATATATATTAAAAATCCAACCTTATAGCTCGGATAGTCTTTAGACAAATATTTTTTAAATATACACACCTCAGATAGTCGTCAGGAAAAATAAGCTTAAATTATCTATGCTTATAGGTAGAAAATCTGGTAGACGTGAAAAAAATTGAAAATCCGTCCTTAACAAAAAGGGTTAAAAATATCCACGCTTAAGCACAGGTAATCGCCAGAAAATATTGCATAATATCTTCGCTTATAGTTCCGATTTTTTAATAGTTTGTAAACCATTTTTGCTAGTGACTTGTTTACGCACTGATAAAACTGGAGGTTGGAAAACTAGTCTAGGAACATAATATTCAAGAAATATTGAATATGTGTATGCAGAATATGAAAACGTTATTTTTTATCAGGGTGCGCAAAAATTCGCTCATTATAAGAATGGCGATAAATTCTTTACCAAACGAGCATTCGCCAAAGAATGTTCGCACACACATAACAAACGAGTGAGAGCACACAACAAAGATCGTTCGTTTCGTTTGGTGGTTGAAATTCTTTCTGATATTCTCTCACGAATGAAAACAAACATTCCCGAATTCTCGCGGATGCTCAAAGCAACAACAAGAATAACAACAAACGTTCGTGAACTCAATAGCTGTTGGACATGTGTTTCGTTATTCACAAACATTCATTCGTTGTGTGTGTTTACTTTTTATGATAATTTTGTTTGTAGTTGTTTCTAACAGAACTCGCGAGCATTCGCAAACATTTGTTTTTTTAAATTTTTCAAAAGAATGTTCTTCAGCAACAAATACTCGCGAACGAACGAGTCGACGACGCTTGCAGCGAAATTTTTATCGTTCGTACAATGCGAACATTCGCGAGAGATTGGAAATGCTTGTTCATTCATTGTAACTTTATCATTCGCGATAAATTGAAAACATTCGAATTCTCGCCGTAAGCATTCGTGAGAAAGAGCGTATTTTAAGAATTCTTCACATCCTCTTTTTTATTTACCAGAAACCCACGATTTGAAATATGAACCCAAAAAAAATATTTTGTAAATATGTTCCTCGCCCCCAAGAAATCGAAATGACAAATTACAGACACTTCAGTGGAGAAATTCGGCTAAAATCTTCAAAGTAACGATAATGGGAAGAAACCATTTTCCTGACAAAAATCAAATGTCTCCTCTGAGGAGTAGATTTCTTCTTCAAAAAAGGGAAAATAAGTTTTTTTAATTACCATTTTTTTACAAATTTAGTAATAATTTATTAGGAGTAGCTGTTAACTATTTTTTAAAAATCGAAAATATGTCTACAAGATCCACAATTTGATAGACCACTTTATTGTATGCTCACTAAGCCAGTTAGTGCAGAATGTCATTGATATCGGACAATTTTAATTTAGGTGTGGGAAATATGGGACATCTATTCGAATCGGAACCGATTTCAACTGACATTTCAGACACAATTGAAAAGAATATAAAAAAATTGGTATAAATCGAAAAATATAGGCTCTTTGGTACATCATTTACTTAAAATCGGACGAGCATATATATGGGAGCTATCTAAATCTGAACTGCGATCTTCGCCAATTTCAATAGGTAGAGATGGTATTTACCGGGTATTTACCGGGTAAATACCCAAGGGGTGGGTAAATACCGGGTAAATACCCATTTGCGGGTATTTATTTGGGTATTTACTATATTGACTCGGTAATACAACATCTTACACCCTATTTCCGGGTTTCTGTTATCAAATCGATTTAGAATAGATAGTTTTACGATACTCTAAAGACGTGGGTAAATACCCGAGTTTTTACCCGAAAAATGGGTAAAAACTCATTAACTGCCGAACCACTTGACATAGGCGGCCAAAATTTTGCACACATGTTTCTAATGACAAAGCAAATATAGAAATCCAACATGGGGTCCCTGGGTCCAAGTTTTGATATAGCCCCCATATAACCGTATCTCCCGATTTAAGGTATTTTTAGCCTATTAGACACATTTTGAGGCCAAATTGGCTGTAATTTGGCACAGAATGTTCTTTTTGGGTACCAAATGTCCATGCAAAATTTTATGTGTATAGGTCCACGTTTACTGGTAGCCCCCATACAAAGGTACCCCTATTTTGAGTATTTACCCAAAAATTGGGTATAAGCTCACTGACTGCCGAACCACTTGACATAGGCGGCCAAAATTTTGCACACTTGTTTGTAATGACAAACAAATATAGAAATCCAACATGGGGTCCCTGGGTCCAAGTTTTGATATAGCCCCCATATAACCGTATCTCCCGATTTAAGGTATTTTTAGCCTATTAGACACATTTTGAGGCCAAATTGGCTGTAATTTGGCACAGAATGTTCTTTTTGGGTACCAAATGTCCATGCAAAATTTTATGTGTATAGGTCCACGTTTACTGGTAGCCCCCATACAAAGGTACCCCTATTTTGAGTATTTACCCAAAAATTGGGTAAACTCACTAACTGCCGATCGGGAGGTACGGTTATATGGGGGCTATATCAAAACTTGGACCCAGGGACCCCATGTTGGATTTCTATGCCAAATTACAGCCAATTTGGTTGTAAAATGTGTCTAATAGGCAAAAAATAACTTAAATCGGGAGATACGGTTATATGGGGGCTATATCAAACCTTGGACCCAGGGACCCCATGTTGGATTTCTATATTTGCTTTGTCATTAGAAACATGTGTGCAAAACTTTGGCCGCCTATGTCAAGTGGTTCGGCAGTTAATGAGTTTATACCCAATTTTTGGGTAAATACTCAAAATAGGGGTACCTTTGTATAGGGGCTACCAGTAAACGTGGACCTACATACATAAAATTTTGCATGGACATTTGGTACCGAAAAAGAACACTCTGTGCAAAATTACAGCCAATTTGGCCTTAAAATGTGTCTAATAGGCTAAAAATACCTTAAATCGGGAGATACGGTTATATGGGGGCTATATCAAAACTTGGACCCAGGGACCCCATGTTGGATTTCTATATTTGCTTTGTCATTAGAAACATGTGTGCAAAATTTTGGCCGCCTATGTCAAGTGGTTCGGCAGTTAATGAGTTTATACCCAATTTTTGGGTACATACTCAAAATAGGGGTACCTTTGTATAGGGGCTACCAGTAAACGTGGACCTACATACATAAAATTTTGCATGGACATTTGGTACCGAAAAAGAACACTCTGTGCAAAATTACAGCCAATTTGGCCTTAAAATGTGTCTAATAGGCTAAAAATACCTTAAATCGGGAGATACGGTTATATGGGGGCTATATCAAAACTTGGACCCAGGGACCCCATGTTGGATTTCTATATTTGCTTTGTCATTAGAAACATGTGTGCAAAATTTTGGCCGCCTATGTCAAGTGGTTCGGCAGTTAATGAGTTTATACCCAATTTTTGGGTAAATACTCAAAATAGGGGTACCTTTGTATAGGGGCTACCAGTACACGTGGATCTACATACATAAAATTTTGCATGGACATTTGGTACCGAAAAAGAACACTCTGTGCAAAATTACAGCCAATTTGGCCTTAAAATGTGTCTAATAGGCTAAAAATACCTTAAATCGGGAGATACGGTTATATGGGGGCTATATCAAAACTTGGACCCAGGGACCCCATGTTGGATTTCTATATTTGCTTTGACATTAGAAACATGTGTGCAAAATTTTGGCCGCCTATGTCAAGTGGTTCGGCAGTTAATGAGTTTATACCCAATTTTTGGGTAAAAACTCGGGTATTTACCCAAGTTTTTACCCACGTCTTTAAAGTATCGTAAAACTATTCATTCTAAATCGATTTGATAAAAGAAACCCGGAAATAGGTTGCATGATGTTGTATTACCGTTTCAATATAGTAAATACCCAAATAAATACCCACAAATGGGTATTTACCCAATTTATCGGGTATTTACCCTTTGGGTATTTACCCACTGCCCATCTCTATCAATAGGGTTCGTATTTGGGACAGAGCTATATAAAAGTTCATCCAATTCGAATCAGAAATCCAAATTTTACAATAATTTAACATAAACGGACGGACGGACATGCGTAAATCGACCCAGAGAGTGATATTCTCAAAAGTAACCATGGGCTTATCTTCTTTTTCCTTTGTCTGTTACAAACATATGTA